AATGTCACGGCAAGGGAGCTACTCATTTGAACCTGCTCCAAGCTGGTACAAGTAGGAACACCTGATGCAGGTAGCAGAATCAGACCCATATGCTTTTTATACCAATTTCTGGCTTTTAATCCTATTAAGAACACTAATGTAATGTTCCAACCCCCATGGCAGAGGGGTTGGAGCTAGATGATCTTAAGGTCATTTTCAACTCTAAACCATTCTATGAGTCTTTTCAGAAAAGAGTGAATAACAGGTTTTTTTGAGGTTTTTTTCATCTTAGCAATTACATCCTCACTCTACGCCAGTATCTTCTATTATGATTGCTTAAAGACCATTTGAATTAGAGTTCCAAAGGATAATATAACCCTGTGTGTGAAACTGAATCATAGAATACCAGGTTGTGAGGGGACCCCAAGGATCATCCAGTTCAACCTTTCTTGGCACAGTCTAGGCAAGATGGCCAGCATCCTGCCCAGCTGAATCTTACAAGTGTCCAATGCTGAGGAATCCACCACTTCCCTGGGGAGATTATTCCAATGGCTCATTGTTCTCAAACATTTTCCACTTGTGTCCAACCAGACTCTCCCCAGGAGTAACTTGTACCCATTACCCCTCATCTTTTCCATGTAACTCCTTGTAAAAAGGGAATCTCTATCTTCTCTGTTGGCCCCCTTTAAATATTGGAACATGGTGATAAGTTCTCCCCTGAGCCTTCTTTTCTCAAGGCTGAATAAACCCAGTTCTCTCAGCCTTTTCTCATAGGTCAGGCTTCCCAGTCCTTTGATGATCTTTGTGGCCCTTCTCAGGACCCTCTCCAGCCTGTCCACATCTGTTTTGTAGAGTGGGGACCAAACCTCAACACAGTATTCCAGGTGTGGCCATACAAGCACAGAGAATAGTGGGATAATGGCATCTTTATCCCTGCTGGTGATGCCCTTGTTGATGTAACCCAGCATCCTGCTGGCTTTCTTTGCTGCAGCAGCACACTGCTCACCTATACTGAGCTTGTTGTCAAAATATACCTAGAGATTCTATATATTTGCTTTCTCCTTGCTATTGCATGATTAATCACTGACTCCTTCTGTTGTTTTCCCCCACAAGATTTCCATACATCATATTTGAAAATAGTATTTTGCTCTGCTCATACTTGACAAAAAAATTAATGCACCTGTCTCTATGATTTTTGTTGTGTCCTCTTTCCTAATGAGCATTTTTCATGTTAAAATGGGTCTATTGTAAAAAATACTATATTTGCTAGTGTCTCCAGAGTCTCGCTCTGTAGACATGTAAGGGAGAAAACACAATAAATATAGGTAAATTGCAAAGAATTTGGTCACAAAAATGCCATGTTCCTGGTAGATCTGTCCTCAGCATAAAACTTCTTTGGCACGAAACTAGCATAGCACACCTACATTACTTTCTATCCCTTACAGATTTCTGGGCAGGAACAGCAAGTTCCTTGGGTGGTGGTCTATTTTCCGGCTTTTTCACCCTCTAGCTCGAGATGTGATTTGTGAGCAAACCCCTGTATTTCAAGGTGCTACAGAACTGTAGGGGTGGAAAATGCCAGTTCACATTTTTTCTTGATAGTCTGCCACCATGGAAACCTGTAACACCCTAGAGTTACCAAGTAAGTTACCAGCTAACTGTTGGGTAAACTTCCAGCAAAACCAGGTAGTTTGTTGGGGTTTTTTCTCAGTTCAGCTTCCTTCACTGTTCAGCTAAACACTAGACTCACACTTTTTCTTAGGGACCTCAGCAACCCACTCCAACAATATGCAGTGTCTGTGTGGGCACCTGTATGGGCTGCCAGTGCTAGTGCTGGTCTCCACAGGAACCCACAGTTCCCTTCTGACAAATGGGAAGGGCTCAAACATTAGGAAGCAGCACAGAAAGAAGCAGCAAGCAGGGGAGATGGCCCACAAGCAATGGTGTTTGACACAATTAACATGAAATTTCCCTGGCTAATCTTTTAGACTTCAGACTACATCCCCTGTATACCATGTTAGAAGCGTTAAGTAATTTGTAAAAGCTGGGCTTTTGCTCCATTTTCTTTGGGATAAGGAATGGTAGGGAGAGTTATATTTTCATTGATACTGCCTATCTCACAAATATGTTTAACTACTAACTATAACCTTGCTTTGCAAAATGCATCTTCTTCTTGTCACTTAGGAATTGTTCTTTGATATGAAGGAAAGAAGAGATGGGAGGGGTGCCTAAGATTCCATCCCCAAAAAATGTTGCACTACAAAATGTATTTTCCTCTACCAAAGGAGGGGATTACAAGAATTTTGTTGTGCAAAAATCTGTCTGAAGCAGAATTTCTGTGCTACAGGAAGGTCATCACAAATGTAGACATTGAATGCAATCAAAAGAGATTTTGATGGAAGAGCGGAAGACACTGTTTGCAGAATAGCACTGTTGCTTATTTTGACAAGTGAAATCCTACCTTGCTGTATTGCCCTTTGGAAAAGGTTGGCTATGCCTCAAGTTTTTGCTCACCAGAGTATCTAACCCCTAAATCACAACAGCTCTGTCCTGCCCTGACCCTTTGCAAGCACTGTTATGCTCAGTTATCAGAAAATGTTAAGGAAAGGGAAGGGAGGGGAAAGGACATGAAGCTGAACACCAGGAAGGACAGAAGCAGGGAGGGAAGGGGTAGAATATTTCGACCCTGGTTTTCAAATGGCCATAAGCCTGTCTGGGCCTGCCTGGAAAAACACCTATTTGCATGCAGATGGAAGAATTTTAAGTGGATAATTTTGCCTCCAAAATTGAATCTGTTTTCACCATCATGATTCCACACAGTCTTTTGTCCTTCTGTTAGATGCAAAAAGAGATAAGCAACAGCAGTTATCCCTGCAGTAGGTTGGGGACATCATTTATTTCTGTCTCAAGTAAATACCCACTCATAGTAATTTTTAAATTTTGAAAAGTTCTATAACAGCAATGGTATAGTATAAATTTATATGCACACAAACACACATTGTTTGTGGGTGGAGAGACCATGTAAGTATCTGATGTTCATCTTACAGCTGAAAACCAGATTACCAAAAATAATATTAAGATGCCAGATATCTTCTTCCACTGCACCATATAACAAGAAAGGAAAAGAAGATCTGGTGGAAGGAGCCTGCTGTTAAGGGAGTCAGGAGAACAGAAAAACTGAGCTACTTCCTTTTCTGACAGCCCAATGACATGGTGCCAGGCTCTGGTGGCTCATGGCCCAGGACTGTTTGAGAACAGATGGAATATACCATGTTCCATTCTGAAATTAGGGCAAGTAAGGGAAAAGAAAAGCAAAAGGAAATGAAGCTCAGATCAGTACTTCCTGACCTGCACTTCCTCCACAGTGCTTGATCCAGAGCTTTTTGAAGTCTACAGAGAGAGCTCTGCTGATTTCAAATAAATCTGATTCAGAGCCTGAAGGAAGAGGAAAAAACGTGTGGTATGGCAGAAAGCTCACATCATGGCTTTCTGGAGGTGGACAGAACTTTGCCGAGAGCCATGTGTGTTTATCAAATGTTCCCCTTCCTTGGATTGCCCTTGAGACATGTTCCATACAGCAGGACCCAGTGAAAAGATTTAAAATATGGTTTCATTTGCATATACTTGACAGAGAACATAAATGTTCTTTCAGAAAATTTGTGAGTCAAATAATGCTTTTCCTCCCCCTATCTGGAACAAAAGAATATTTCCACTTTTTCCCAGCAAAATGTTCCTGCAAGAACATTGTATTAACTCTGTATATTACTTGAAAATTTTCAGTGTTGCCTTTTTGTTTTTACTGAACACAGTTACTACAATCAACATTTCTTTGGTCTTTTAAGACTGGTCTTGCCCCCTACAACCACTTCCAGTATCTCCACAGATGCACATTCATTTCAGTGTTATGTAACTGGAAAGCATTTCATTTTTCCCTCTAATAGCAATTTATTTTGATGTATTCAAAATGTCCATCAAACTCTGAAACTACAGTCATTATAAAAGACCCCCAAATTTATGTGCCTTCATTCTGATAGAATTCTCTCAAAAAAAAAAAGGAAAAAAAAAAAAAAGGAAAAAAGAAAAAGAAATCTGTCATTCAGACTACCTCTTAGTCCAGTTTTATGTGTATCAGATGGCTAAAATAGCTTTCTGGAGCTTCATACATCATTCTGTCTGGAAAATAATCAAACAATACTCCCATTCCTCTCTCTCCCAAAATAACCATATAACCTTCATAAAATACTCTGAAATAATAAATTATACATAGAAGATATTATGTATTCAAATATCCCATGTTCTTTGTTGAGCAAGCTAGTAAGTGTGACACAGTGTGAGCATTTAGCTTATGATGGTTCCAGAGGACTCCATGCTGCCTGCTCTGTCTCACAAAATACAGGGTCAAGGCCAATAAAAGATGAAGAAAATTTAAATTCAGGATGCATGTAAGTACTTGCAATGAAAGCTGAGACAAGGTCCTAAAATCTATAGCCTTCTGTTTGACAAAATGATTAGAGGAGGTTTCAGTGTTCAGTTGTGAGAAACTCCTTCACTGCTTAAGCTGAACACAATGCAAGAAACAAACCAAGCAGCATATATGCACGTGATAACATGTTCAGTGGAACAAGAGCTGAGCAGACAGAACAGCTCACTTGGTGTTCCTGCACAGACACACATTTGAAATGGTAGATGGACAGGCAGCAATGGCTTTAGAAGGGTCCAACAGGCTAAAGAAGAAGTTAAAATGCCATATTTTAAAATGTGACAAACAAAAAAGCTTGATCAAATCTGCTGGTATGGTCTGCTTGCAGATGAAGTTGAAGTTTGGGCAAGGGGAAATCAAATGCCTCCAAGGCTACCAGTGAAGCAAAAAATTACATTAGCTTTACAGCCTGAAGCATATTTGTTAGTATTTAACAAACTATGTGCTTCATTTAAATACTGTTGCTGGTAGCCAAATAAATTAAAATCACCTCATTAGGCTTTACATCAGTGAAGTTAAAAAATTTAGAGGCTTTTCTTACCTTCTGTCTAGGTGTCTTTCCACTTGTACAGTCAGTGCCAATAGGGACCTATGTCACAGAGGCCTTTCTCCATGTCATTTGTCTCTAGGCATCCTGAACCTAGGTAGTTATAAGGAAAGACAAGGCACACATACAATCTCAAAATATTGCCACAGTTCCACAATCAAAAATACAGTATCACTGTAATATACAAAATGGAATGACTGAAGCATTTGCAGCTCTGAGGGCCCCCTTGCTGCCCTCTGATAAAGACAATGAAACAAGCATAACCAAACATAAAGAACTGGTAACATTTCTGAAGATCTACAGGCAGGCAGTAGGAAACGTACAAAAGCTGAGGTAGAAATTAGGCTCTCTGAATTTAAGCCTTTAGCCTCTTTTCTAAAGTCTTCAATTCATGGAAAAGAAAAACACAGTATGAATCACATATAAGTACATATAACCAGAGTTAGGGTGTCAGCCTTGTATGCCCTAGGATTCTCTTTTCCATGGAACCAGAAACATTTTTGGTTCAGGTCACCCAGTAGCATCTAGAATAATTTACTCAGCCCTGCTTAGGGAATATTTGAAAACTGCAGAAAATTTCTCCAACTGTACTGCAGAGAAAAAGAAAGAAAAAGGATGATGACAACGATTGCATAACTCATCTTATGTAACTAGTACCAATATGTTTCAACATTTCTGAAAATATTTAAGATTTGCTATTCCTAAGTGCCAATTTCCTATTGAAACTAACAGGACCATTTGCATACATCTGATTAAATGTCTTCCTAAAGGCTGTGCCAAGTCAAGATACATGAAGTAAATGATAATAAGAGAAAACTGTTGAATAACTTGACAGTTATCACAAAATTCTTTGAATAAATTACATGAACACTTTTACCTATTACTGCCCTTTTGGCATGGAAGTTTCTACTTAAAACAGTTGCTCCTCTTTAACGACCTGACTTGTGATGATGACTGATATCTCCTGTCTCTGCACCTTGGCATTCCTTAAAGTGGTGATAACCACTTAAAAGGCCCTGCTCAGTCTGACACCAAGCCAATAGTGAGAAATAAGGAAAATACAGACTTCCACCATCAGCAGCAAAAGCAGTCAGGTAAAGCTACATGTAAAAGATGCTTTGAAGTAACAAAAAACAGTAGGAATAAATTAACAAACCATATGTCAGCCATCACAAGTAAGTTCAGGCACCATTGTTAACTTCTTGCTGGTTTACTGGTCCAAAAGCATGCAGTTATTTCTCATCAGAGGAAGAGCCAGATGCTTGTTAGGGTGTTTGTGTTTCTGACACTGTGCTCCACTTGTTCCACTGTGGAAGCCTTTCGTAAATGGATGGCCACCAAATGTATCAATCTTTTCATATCACTGTAATATAGAATGAAGTTCATTATGATTTGAATTAGGCACATAAAATTCATTGTGTTTAATCTGATTTGGCTCATCATATGCTGCCAAGGTCAAGAAAGGCAAATTATGAAATGTGATCTTGGAGATACCAATAACATATTGATCCCTCTCTTTTTCCTTTTACTTCAGACTTATGAAGTATAATAGAGAGATATTGAAACAGTCACATTTCTATTAAATGTAACACTTCCCACAGCATATTTCATTTTCAATTGCAATTCTCTACCTCACATGCTATTTGGTGATTCTAAACTGTTCAAAACCAAAGCACCTGTATAACCAGCACCATTTCAGCAGAATTCCATTAATATGTTACACAAATATTGATTTTGAATGATGTTAGTCAGTTCTCCAGAATATCATGTTTAGAACTAAGCATGTATGAAAAACTAAGCATGCCCTAGCAGTGTATACTCAAACTAAAGAAAAACTTGCACTTAGTCAACCGTGAAATCTGTTTTCTCTTCACTGCTTATGAGGAAAAGAGACAAAGCCATGGAAGAAGCACTATGGATGCTTAGTTTGGTAGGAAGTAACTCATCTCCATGTTCTTCAAGGAGTGCCAACCAAGCTGTGCCCCAAGGATTATAATTTCATTAAATTGCTGTAAATTGCAGTTTAGACCACATTGTTCTTTTATCCCCTATCACTCCCACCCTGACAATTTTGCTGTGGAGCTTTGCAAAAATGTGTCCAAAAGCAACAAGTCCTGGCCTTTCCTCTTTGCCAAGTCAATGATGTAAAAACATCCCAGATTCTGGTCTCTGCTTTGCCCATAGGATGCAGCATTTAGGCAGCATATATGGGAATGAATAAATCAGAGCTGTTCCCTCTACATTCACATTTGCAGCACTCCCTTCCCATTTTGTAGAGATGCCCATCACCCCAATTTCTACCCTGGTTTGAAGCAAGACTGGGTTTGCAGGAGTACTGATATCCGTAAGAGATGCTATAGGCCCGCCTTTTCTCTGTCGCCACAAATAAATGCAATTAAGGTACATCGTAGTTTTCCTACATCAGTACTAGTTCCTCCTAAACTTGTTATCTGTTTCCGACAGTCACCTTTTCTTCAGTGAGAAGAGCTTCTCACTCTGTGCGTAGCTCCAAAACAAGATTTCAAAAGAGGAAAGGTGACTCCCTAGCTAAGTATGTGACAACAGGGAAAAAAAAGTCTTCTGAACCACTCTCTGCTTATCATTACATGCATCACACAGATGAAACCAACAGTTCTGGATAATTTTAACCAGAGAAAGTATGCATGCTGCTTCAAGCCTAGGGTGGGAAAAGTTAGATCTGCATTGCTCCAATCTGCCTTCAAGATGGCAACAAGAAAATCATTATCCCTATCAACACCTGAGAGCAGAGCTCTGATCTAGGATCTGTAGGCTGACTTTAACTGGGCTGCCCACCCTAAGCCCTCTGGAGGACTCTGCTCACCAGCAGAACCCTTGCAGCTTCCCTTTCTCCATCCATTGGCCATGGGCTCTGGTTCCAGAAAAACAAACCTGGGGAGGGGGAAAATAAGTGGATAGGGGAAAAAAAGAGAAAATAAAAAAGGGAGAGAGGAAGATAGCAACAAAAAAAGACCAAAATCCCTTTAAACACAGGAAAACAGAGTTTAACTGAGGAGATCAGAAAGCAGGATCATAATAAAAAAGAAATTAAAAAAAAAAATAAAATGCAGTTTATAGAAATTAAAAAAAAAATAAAATGCAGTTTATTTCTCCCAGCATATGTAAACAAATATAATTTCTTATATGGTCCCAAAAAGACAGATAAAGCTATCCTCAGTGGTTCCCTGAGTAAAAGGGCAGCTGTACCACAGGGCAACTACAGTTGAGAAAGCCTTTCATACTGAAATGTGTATGGTCAGCAGAACATAAGCATTAACTTATTTCCTGTCTTATTTTCATCTTTCATTTCAGTGTTCTGAATTACTCATCCTGGTCACATTTAACTTTTTTTTTTAAATTCTTTTTATAATGTTAAGTCTTTATATAATCTAAGAAAGTTCAGGGCTCTGAAGCAGCAATCACCCAAAGCATATATATCAACATAGGCTCCTTGAAGCGCAAAATAAACTTTTACCAAATGCAGTTACCATTCAGCACCACCAGAACTGCAGACACATTTGTGCAGGAAGGAATACAGTGTAGGCTCTGTGGTGCCTTCAGGATGAGAGTGTGTTCTGTGGAGGCAGAGGGAAGTGTAACACATAAAGAGCAGTGGGTGGATTCAATCTCCTTGCAGACAGCTGAGATGCAGATAGAGGCAGCTGCCTGCTCAGAGGAAACTTCCTTCAAACCTATGGGTCTGAGCATCAAAGCCAGGCCAAGACTGCTGTGACAGCCACACCACCCAGAGATGTACAGCACCACAGCGTGCACAGCAGAGCTCACTTTCATAGAATAGTTTAGGTTGAAAGGGACTTTAAAGATCATTTATTTCCACCCCCCTGCCATGGGCAGGGACACCTTCCACTAAACCAGTTTGCTCAAAAGCTCCATACAAACTGGCCTTGAACACTTCCATGGATGGGACTTCCATAACCTATTTGGGCAACCTGTGCCACTGTCTCACCACCCTCACAGGAAATAATTACTTCCTTATCTCTAATCTAAATCTACCCCCTTTCAGTTTAAAGCCATTCCCCCATGTCCCCCCTTACACACCCTTGTAAAAAGCCCCTCTCCAGATTTCTTGTAAATCCCTTTAGGTATTGGAAGGCTGATCTAAGGTCTCCCTGGGCCTTCTCTTCTCCACAAGCCCAACTCTCTCAGCCTGTCTTCATAGGAGAGTTGCACCAGCACTCTGAGCTTCTCTGTAGCCCTCCACTGGACTTACTCAAGCAGGTCTGTGTTCTGCTTGTTTTGAGGCCCCCAGAGCTGAAAACAGTACCACAGGTTGGATCTCATGAGAGTAGAATCATCCCCCTTTTGCTCCTTTTGATGCAGCCCAGCATACAGTTGGCTTTCTGGGCTGCGAGTACACACTGTTGACTCGTGCTGAGCTTGTCATCAACCAACATCCCCAAGTCCTTTTCCTCATAGCTGCTCTGAATCCATTCTCCGCCCATCCTGTAGCTGTGCCTGGGATTTCCCTGACCTAGGTGCAGGACCTTGCACTGGCCTTGTTGAACTTCATGTGGTTTGCATGTGCCCACCTCTCAAGCATGTCAAGGTCTCTCTGGATGACAACACTTCCTTCCAGTGTGTCAACCACACCACACAGCTTAGTGTCATCCCCAGACTTGCTGAGGGTGCACTCAATCCCACTGTCCTTGTAGCTGAAAAAAGTGCCAGTCCCAACACTGACCCCTCAGGAACACCACTCATCTCCCGTGAGATGAGACTGACTGTCCTGTAGTTCCCTGGATCCTCCCGTTTTCCTTTTTTAAAAATGGGGGGTATGTTTCATTTTTTCCAGTTAGTGGGAACTTCACTGGACTGTCACAGCTTAGTGTCCACTTCATCTGCCAGTTCCCTTCAGGACCTGTGGTTGCATCTCATTAGGTCTCATGCATTCATGCACCTTCAGGTTTCTTGAATAGTCTCAAACCTGATCTCCTACAGCAGGTGGTTCTTCATTCTTCCAGTCCTCACCTTTGCCTTCTGTGACTTGGGCTGGATAGATTCCAACTGCATCTTCCACTGCAAGATATTAGTTTCATAAAAATCACAGGGATGCT